GCAGTGCTTCTGTAACAGTACACACCTCAGTCTGTCAGTGAAAGATGTGTCTGCTAGCTCCTGAAACCAGTAAATGAGAAAAATGAAACGGCGCTTCATCCGAGAAATGTGCGCCTTCCACCTCCGTGGTAGCTGTTGAAATGACGAATCACGCTGGAAGCACCCACAAAAGTATTTCGAATAAACTCAAACATGCATATGCTTGCTGGTTTCTTAACGCGATCGAAGTCTAAAATAAAGAAAGCGCAACAGAATTATTGATTTAATTTATTCAGTGCGGTTAAGCAGTCCCCCTGACCGTTACAGTAGCTGCACTACAGCCTCCCTCTTTTCTTTCCCAATGTCTTCTGGAAATCTACTTTTCCACCTTTCCTTCTCTTTTTGGGCCTTCCATAAACAGCGCCCCCATCATTGTCTACCCCTCCCCTTCAGTTCCCTTGTATTTTCCTCATTCCCTCCTTTTTAACCAGAATGGATTCTTACCACCCAGAGATGCAAAAGAGGAAATTAGAAGACAACTAATTCCAGAAAACAAGCTCCACAAAAGTCAGGACAACAATTGGAATTTCATCTGGAAATATTGGTCACAGATGCTGTTTGTACCCAACTAAGCAGGTTCCTCGAGTCCTGATAACCACTCACCTAGTAAAGATGCTAAGAGAAGCTAGACCCATATGAAATCCCAACCTAGAAGTTTTTCCGAATAGTTTTTTGATGGAACCCTATGTGTTGTCCGCCGCAATATGACAACAGTAGCTGGGTGGAATAGCGTCTTTGGCTTAATTTATCCAAACGACTCCGCTTACAACATTATGCATCTAGACAATAGCTACACCACGTGGCACCATACGATGGTAGTCCCAAATTTCCCCCTCATCCATCCCTGTATTTAACTCTAGTTTCGCATACCATCTGTTGATAGCACAAATTTATTGAATACTCACATATTTTTGGCCCATTTTATGCCATAAATTCGACATAAATAAATCGGTGAATGTTTTATTCTCTTGTTAAAGAAGATTTTAACATGAGAGAAGCCAGCTTACAGGCTTCATCACGTCGATACATCTCAAAATATCTACAGGACTTGAGCCCTGAGTGGTACTGATGGAATGTCATTAAACTCAATTAAAAAACTGCGGAAGGTCCTGCTAGTTATGAAATGAACGAGGAAATATTACTTTACAGCGTACGTAGAGTGTTAAAGTTTAGATAATAGTAAATGTCGCCCTCATTTAACAGGCTTAACATGAGGGATACCGGTTAACAAGCATCGTCAAATTCATAACTTTTGAAAGTATCTAGTATAAAATAATTTACACATCAAGTCAATGCAATGTGCTCTTAGAGATAATGTGACTTGTCACTATCAGGATCCTGCACGAACTCAGTAATTACGCTCGTATATATTTTCAGTGTAGCTGTGTCATGAAATGGCATTCACCTGATAGTTGTTCCCAGTAGTACGCAAACAATTGCATACTTCAGAAGACTATATGGCGCGACGATTTATTCTTCCCTGACCTTTTCAGGTTAACTGAGAAAAGCGACTGGGGGCGCTGTGTTCAAGCACAAGGGTATCCACAAAGCCACATGGATTTGATTCTACCAGATGGATACACAACTCCAAAAATCAGGTCAGCTTCATCTCAATCTCAAGAAAGTGGGAACGCAGACTACTTTACACAAGATCAAGGAGGGGAGCAGATGTGGGTTCACACCACTCACTATCTAGTGCAAGGAACATTCCAAATCAAGTTGAAAGCCTTCAACGAACCTGGTGACGGGCCACAGTTCAAGTTCAACACCCAGAAACTGAAGGACGAAACTACAAAGGAAATCTTCACGGCAGCCAGCCATCAAGACAGAATGGGAGGTATCAAGGACCATCCCTGAAGAAACCTGTGTGGATGAACACTGAAAGTCTTTGAAGGAGGTGTGGAAAGAAAACTGCATAACTGGGTTAGGAGGGAGGAAGAGGAATGGAACTCGACGGACAGATGGAGGCTGCTGGAGCAGGGAGAGGAAGGTGGTGGAGCAAACGATGAACAAGTAGCGTGGAGTGCACTGCAGGGACGAACAACGAAAGCAGGAACTGAACACAATGTGTATAACACTGGACAAAGATGAGTAGAAGAACGGCGAAAGACACCTCTATGACACACCGAGAAGTGAAGCAGAACAGGCTGCCGCATGTAGGAGAGACAGAGATCTGATAACATTGTATCAAATAACCAGGTTACTTACTATGTGGGATGGAAGAGATCAACACACATGAAACCAATAAAAGATGATGAGTGAAATTTAATTACGAAAGATGAGAAACAAAGGAAACGATGGGCCGATCACTTCAAAAAGCTCTTGAATCGACCACCACCACCACCACCACCACCACCACCATCTGCACTTCGTCTAGAAATACCACCTGCAGCCCAGCCACAGAACTACAAATGAACATAAATCCTCCAACAAAAGTGGAAGTCGTGAGCGCCATAAAACTACTGAAATGCGGGAAAGCAGCAGGACCAGATGAAATCCCGCCAGAAGCACTGAGAGCATACGCAGAGACAACTGCAGCGGACATGCTCACACTACACCACACCACACCACACCACTACTGCAGAAGGTTTGGAGGGAAGGAAAGGTACCTGTCGGTTGATTAGAAGAAAGGTTAGCTTGTCAAACTGCCGAGGAAGGGAGACCTCAGTGTTTGCAAGAACTCGCGTGGAATCATGCTGCTATCCCTGTCCAACCCCAAGCAAGCAAAATATTAAGCCGCATCATCCTGGAGGAGGCTACAGGATGCTTTCAATTGAAAATTACGACCGGAACAGGCTGGCTCGATTCACGAAGTACAAATCATATGCGGACCAAATTGCAACGCTACACTACGCATCATCATAGAACAGAGTATAGAATGGCAGTCAACAGGACCTTTAACTCAACTCCATCGACTTTGAGAAGGCCTTTGGCATCGAACCTTTGGCGTCGAACGAGAGGTAATTTGGCAGGTAGCTGCTTCAACACTACGGAATACCACAAACCTTTATCAATCTGATGCAACAGCAGCTATATGAAGACGCCACATGCCAGCCAAGTAATTGACAATGGGAAGCTCAGTGATGCTTTTGAAGTGAAGACAGGAGTAAGGCGAAGCTGTCTACTATCCCCCATGATATTCGTGATTGTGGTTGACTGGACTGTATGATGCAGCAAACAGTGGGGAGCTGTGAGAAGAGGGGGATACGCAGTGTGGACCGCGGAGAAGAACCTAGAAGATGTGGATGTGGCCAGTGATGACTTGTGTCTGATGTCACACAAAGTAGAAGATCTACAGGCGAAAAGTAACTAGTTGACAGAAGAGGCAGGGCAGGGCAGGGCAGGGCATGGCATGGCAGCGAATGAAGATGCGACTTCAATTGAATATGGAGAAGACAGAGGTGATGAAGATACCCAACCAAGAAGAACAGCAAAACAACAAGCTGCAATCACCATCAACGGGAGCAACCTGAAGGAAGTAGCCTCGTTCACGTATCTGGGCAGCACTGTTTCAACTACAGGTGGGACAGGCACAGACGAGGATGTCAAAGTCAGGATTGGAAAGACAACAAGACAGGTGTTCATTAACCGGATCTACTGCACTGCACTACACTACACTAGACTACACTACACTACACTACACTACACTACACTACACTCAGCATGTGGATTTTCAACACCAACATCAGTCAAGTCAGTGCTGCTGTGTGATGGTTCAGACACTTGGCGTGTTACGAAAGGGATTTCCAACAAACTATAGACATTCATCAACAAGTGCTTACGCTCACTCGTTGTTGTAGCTCAGATGGCAAGAATAATAAGAACAAGCAACAAGGAACTCTGGCTGGCTGGGAACGAAGCAACCAAGAACGTATCGCTGAACAAATATGCTGAGGAAGGAAGTGGAGATGGATTGGGCATACACTGGGAGGGCGGACTGTGGACATCACGCGTCAGGCCAGTTACTCGAGTGGAACCCAGATGGGAAGCGATGAGTTGGGCGTCGGTGTCGAGGGTGACATGGAGGGGATGATGTGTGAGGAGTAAATGAGAGTTTGTGGGTTGTCGTGGAGCCAGGTTGAAAGATTTCAGAGAACAGAGTGGAATGGAGACGTGCTACAGAATCGGTATGTTCCACTGGGATCCCAAGAGACAAATAATCTTTATATACTAATAACCATCATCATTATCAAGTATCGGATCCACTGGTCAATGCGTTCAGGCAGAAATTGGATATCAAATGCAGAAAGTGAAACGGTAAAACGCGGCTGTTACTCCTACTACTGAAAACTGAAGTAGATTAACTGCTCTTCCAAAAAGCCAGTCTAAAATTTGCAGAAGGAAAGCTTCAAATAGACAATTACTACCTTCAAAGCTATACAGGAAAACTGAAAAGACTTTTGTGATCATCGAGTAATTTTCGCTGAGAAAAAAGGGCCGGGTTGCAAGACATATAAGCTGGAGTTCAAAAATCAAGTTTCCTCTACTATTAGGTATTGGAACTATTGAAAGTGATTTCACCAAGTCGCCTTGCCATCTGAGCTGCATGAAGTAACCTTGAGAAGCACTTGGGATTTTTCACATGATTCAAGGTTCCAGTGGTTTTGATATACTTTTCGGCTCGTCTGCAGGCTTTTTAAAAGGTAGTTAGATTTATCAAGATCTGTTGGCTTAGGACTTTCGATTGGTGACCATACTTTGTCTCCAATCTCACTAATTAGGAATGAGAATATTTACGCAATGTGCTGGTGCGACGAAATTGGGAATAAAGTTTGTTCATTATTGTTTCTTATTTAATACGTACTGATTCTGGCCGGGTGTCATTCAGGAAATCTGTATAGCATAGACACAACCAACAACTTGTTTACGTGCGTTGATCAATTTTCGAAGTTCACTGAGGGCTCTGTTGTTGGCTTGCAGTCTCATGACAAGTTAGTGTGCTTCCCTTACTATTAAGCCAGGTACATTTTTACGGCTCATTCTTCGGGGAGTATAAAACTGATAACTCGTGACTTCACTTCTGAAATAGTAAATTCTGATTCTATACTTACCTTTTGTAGTTACAAATTCATGTTCAGGGATCACTGTGCTCAGCGAAATTGGCAGCAGGTCAGATTGCTATAGGAGGTAAAGAATCCCCTTTGCGTGTATGGGACATCAATAATCCAAAGGAAGCAGTTTTCACATCCAAAAACGTCCGCCCAACAGTTCTAGAACTCCCAGTTTCAGTGTGGATTTCAGACATCAGCTTTGTCCCAAGAACAAATGAAAAGCTTGTGTTAACGGCGTCAAGACATGGTGAGGTAAGTACTTAAACGTAAATAAATAGGAATGATCATAGATTGGTACACTTGTTTGCTCGTAAAAAGCTGTCAAAATATCGGTCACTGAAGCTCATTATGGGCACGAACGTCCATTTAAAATGTACAGAGCCGCATTTACAAATGTTGCTTTTTAATCTTCATATGTTTAAAAAAGTGCTTGAAGCAATGAGATGAAGATGTGGCACTAGTCGATGAAGTTTCTGATGATCTGTGCAGTGTTGGGAAGCGTTGACTTCATGGTTAGAATCTACGGGATAACGGAGATTACGGGACAAGTGAAATCTTTCACATACTTTCACTTATTGTCTCTGATTCGTAAAATTCCACAGTCTTACCTGCTCTACCTCATCTGATGAGTTTTCAGAAATAGACTTCATTTACAGGATTTGAAATATGGTAGTAAAATTCTTTTGCCACCATACTCACTTGAGGAGCTACCTCGCTCCAAATGGGTCATTTACTAACGCGATCTCAGCCTTGATACGACAGGCCCATTCGTTATTTACCTACTTATATCATGTATAGTGCTGATGTATTTAACTGCCGACATAAGAATGAGTATACCGTGCAACAGTTGACTCTTTCGCAACGCACGGCTGAGACGACAGTTAAAAAATTGGAATTCGTTGAGTGACTTACTGAACGTTCGTGAACTAGGCATTACGCCACACCTCCAGTCATAGATGTTGACAGTATAAGTTATAAAGTGATGTTTTCGGCCACTGGTGTTGTAGTAGCATTACTCGTGTGTGTTGCAACTACTGGAATAAATATGAATAAGCTCAGGATACATGTAAGTTGGTCGAAAATTTTGTAGACCGCTTTGAGGTGACCTGAACGTATGTTGTACAGATCGATCCACAACCTACATTGACGTACACTAAGCCCAATTAGGATTACTTCGGGGGGGCTGGGGGTAGTTAAAAAATACATGACATCAGCGCTTGAAGGCTTTGACTGAGACGTATAAAGATATGTAGACTGTCTGTATGGGGCTCCCGAAGCAATAGGAATCATTGGTTGGAAACTTATAATGGTCTGAATTAAAATCGGTCACGATGATACAAGTGTGTAATCTTTCTCATCTTCGAAGAATTAAATATTTTCAGTAATCAAGTATTGTTTCCTCTTATAAATTTTCATCTACATAAATATCGCTTTCCACCCACTTTTCTCAGAATACAGTTATGAATTGCGATATCTATACTGTCAAAATAAATGTTCATATAGATAGACAGACTAAACCAACGTGCAACCTCGTGCACAAGTTCATCGGTTCAAGTTGCCATATTTCACAGCAACACGCAAATAACAATTGGATAAAAAATGACTGATACCGAAGTAGACAGGCCCACGGCAGAAGGAATTTGAAAATGGAGGTTATTGAAAATGTGCAAGTTCTACGAGACGTCAATGAGTGAATACATCTGCACCATTGTGACCGATTTTCAACCATATCACCGAGGGTCTCCAATCACTTATTTCTACCGTCTGGAGAACCCCAAATAGCTGAGACTAATAGTTAGAGATTTCATCGACTGGTTCCACATCTTGGTCTGGCCACCTTGAGTCCTCTTCCAACCTAATTCAACTTCTTCTAGCACTGCACACCGAGGTGGCTGGTGGCTGGCATGCGCAACACGTGTCCAAGCCGCCTAAGTCGCTGAAAGAGCATAACCTCATCGACCGACTTTGTTTCCTTGCCTAGTACCCCTCGCCTAACATCGATATCACTCACAAGGTGATTCTACCTTACATGAGCCATGCTAGGAAGACAACTAAGGTCAGAAACCTGTAGTCTCTCCATATCTACTGTTTTTAACGGTTGTACAACGGGACGAAACAGACTGCAGCACGGTATACTCGTCTTTGAATAAATTGTTAGATATCTCGCCGGTAGGCGCCAGAGATGATTCGGGTTGGCAAACGCTAAACGACCTTCTGAATCCAAGCTGATGTTTCGTCGGCGACAAGCCCGTTCGGGCTGGGGCTACTCTTAAAGCAAGCGAATCGGTCAGGACATCCCATCACTTGGCTCTTCCTCCCTAATGTGGGGGTAGACAAGTGGAAAATCCCTACCAAACACTCCCAAATAATAATAATAGTAATAATATTTTGTTCCTGAATTTACAGGTGCATATCATTTTTACAGACATGGTTATAACAGCTAGTGGTGGAAAATCTCCGGTAATATTTTCTCTTACAAAAAAAGTTTTATATCATCCCTTCATTCCTGCCTGAGGCGTCCAGATGATCCTAAATTCCGTCAGCGTCCTCACCCAGCAGAACAATATCGTCTGCATATTCCAAGTCAGTCAAACACCCTCTCCGGGAAGTCAAAAGTACCTAATGTTATGTCCGCCACTACATCGATAGCGTAGTTGAACAGGAACGGTGACAATGGGCATGCTTGATGAACATCACTAGTTATCATCAATTCGGATTACAACTCAACATAAGCCCTTACATGACTGTGAGTTTGGGTAGAGATTTTTGATTAGCATTGCATGCTTGCTCGGTACTCCTTTCACAGTCAGACACTGCCACAACACCTCGTGGTCGACAGAGTCAAATGCCACCTTCAGGTCGAGATACGTCCGGTATCGACCGCCGGTAAGTATATCCGTGTACGGAACCTGTCGAAGGATGAAAATTTGATCGATGCACTCTCGTCTGGGTTTGTAGCCTTCCTGGCTTCCTTGGGTCTTCTGTCTTCGAGCTCCAATCGGGTGTCGGATAACTATGGGCCCGAGGATCTTGGACACGATGTTAGTAAAACTGATTCCTCAATAGTTGTCGCAAGAAGACTTCTTTTTTTCTTATACACTAGAGTGATCAGTAAAGTAGACCAGTTAGATGGGACTACCTCTGATTCTCATGCACTACTTATTGGCTGAGTTGTGGCCCATTGGTTTAGAGAGATGACTTTCAACCAATGGGTCACGGATTCGAACACCGCTGTATCTACCGAGGTTTGGGCAATCGAGCAGTATCATAATCCTTGCCTACTATACAAATGTGCACTAGGTTGTTGAGTGGATTTCGATCTGACTTAATATCTCCGTCATTCTTCTCAGTAGTCTCCTGCCCCCATCCCTAGAAACGTTCAGTGGTAAGTCGTCAATTCCTGCTACTTTACATCGTTTGAGGTTTGAGACAGACTTCTCAAGCTCTAGAGGAGTTGGAGGACCGACAGGTTTAGTGTAGATGCTGGATAACTAAAGCGTTGCTATGGTCCAGTTAAGCCGTGCTTCAACGAGTTCTGCCTAACGTTCTGGTCGTCTGCTGTGTGGGGTTATCAGTGTAACATCTTTGTCGGTGATGGTCTCACTCAGCATAGTCCTTTTCTTGTGGATATTGCCCAATATCGATACCTTCTCCATCCCTCTAGCTTTCGTCAGCCTCCACTTGCCGCAATCATTGAGAAAACTCTTAGTCAATTTGCGTTTCAGTCGCTTGCGTTCTTCATTGTGGTCGGAACCAGGTGGTATGAATCTTCTCGCATCGATCAATTCGGATAATGCTGCGGAAATCCATTGACGTTTGATGACCTTGGGTTTTAGGTCACCAACTGTCTCTAACGCTTTTTCTACAGCAGACTTAATGTCGTGGAATTGTGGCCGATTGGTTTGGGGAGATAACCTCGAACCCGCGTGTCACCGTTCCAAATATCTATGTTTGGGCAGCCAGGTAGTATCCCTATCCCTTACAACAGATGTGGCTCATTGCCTACTGTACGAATGTGCACAAGGTAGCTGAGTGGATTTCGATTTCGTAACCTGATACTACACCAGATTCCTCATGATGAGGATTCCTGTGACGTTTAGCAAGATGCTTGGCTACCCCCTCCCTAAATGCGTGTTGATGTTATCATCTTCCGATCGATCACACGTAGGCCTAACTACCACGTGTATCCAATAGCTAGTAAGACAAAGACATATGCGTGCTCCTACTAAAGCGTAGTCAGAGTCCAAACAGTTACTCTAGAAAGACCTATAGTCACTTACCGATGACATACAGTGTTATGATCTGCCTGCATCCATCGTTGAGTGTATGTTCGTGCACGCCATGTTAGGATGTTTCTTTGTTTGAAGCTAGTGTTGCCTAAAAACAGGTGATTGTCCGAACAAAACTGCAACAGGTGATCACTGTTGTCTGTTCATTGGCGTATGATTTCGTGGATACTTCTAAGATGTCTTTCCTGTTGGTTCGGCTTTCCTACTTGAGCTTTAAAGTCGCCTGTTGTTATGATTAAATCTGAACGTCCTACTTTATGTAGTAAAATTGACAGCTTCTCATAGAATTCATCCTTCACATCATCCGAACTGGAGTCGGCCGAGCGTAGGCGGGCGTTTCGAACTGGCATTGGCAAGTCTCACGACCCTTCTTAGTTCTCACAGATCCATTCAGTCAAACAGCTCACAGATGAGTGTCGACTGTTATTTGGTGGGGTGTGGTTTCTGCTCCTACAACTCGGTGGCTTAGCTACACGAGGGATTCAACGGAAGCTAGCCATTGAACCTCCAGATATTTGTGATCTGAATCTTTCAGGCTCACCGCATTGGCCAGATGATGTTAGGTTAATAACCAAACTAGGGTCTTGCATACGTGTCTTAGGAACACAACATACATCCATGGTTCTAGATTCCAGAGTCCCGGCGAACGACGCCTACTGATCGCTTTGGCATAGAGTTCAGACGTTGTGGGATCCAATATGAAACCGATAATAGGTTCTCAGAAGACGAAGAATGGTGTTACGAAGGCGCGAATCGTTAGCAGTGGTAGCAGGGTGAAAAGTTGAGAGGATTGTAAGAGGCTTAATATATTTTATCCAGAGGTGAAAGAGAAGGGGAAAACAAGTAGGGAGGGTAGGTCAGGTTTCAGCGGGTTTTTATACCACTGGAAACATGCGGGTGGTTGACACTTCTCGGCTACCCATTCCGTGGAAGCTGCTTTTGTAGGTTACTTGAAACAGATTTATGTGATCCCGGTGCCCGTAGAACATCTGCTTAAGATCTTTCAGGCAGCCTTTTGAAGATTGCTGGTTTGAGACTTAGTTCTTCTAACGGCTTTTAGAAACAACCCCATATCCCTAGCACCAGAAAACCGTGGCGTGGAGAGGAGTGTGTTATTTCCGGGGTCGACCCTTCCCAACCCCCCTACCCAAAGGAAAGCCAGCAACAGCGTGGCATTAGTGGTCTATCCGTGGGAAGCACCTTACTGTTGTCACGCGCCATACAGGCAACGATATGACTTCGCGCTCGAACTCCCTTCATGTTGTGAAGGTTTACGCAGAGTTGTGTGAGAACGAGCAGTTTGAAGATGAAGGCTTACGCGAATATTCAAGCTTTGGAAGACGTCAATGGGTGAATACATCTGTGCCACTGTGACCGGTTTTCAGCCATATCACCAAGAGTTCTCAACACCTGATTCCTATCGTCTGGAGGACCCCAACCAGGTAGTCTACATCTGTACATACGGCTAAGACCAACACTTAGAGGCTTCATCGACTGGTGCCATGTTTTGATCTGGTCACCCCTTCCCCTAGCACGGCACGTCGAAGCAGGTGGTGATTTTGCATGCACAGTACATGCGTTGCACATAGTATTCCAGCGACTCTTATGCTATTAACTGTTTGTTGGCTCTGTAACTGGTTAAAGTAAGCAGAGTAGTGGTCAACTACTGAAATGACATAGGGTTGGTTAATTAATTCTTAGAAGTGTAGGTGATTAGGATCTCACAGTTTAGTTTCTAAGGTCGAGCTGATATCTGTAAATCCCTGGGAGTTGGCCATTAGATCTGCAGTTACATTTATAATGAGTTTAAAATCACTACGCTAGCTGAAGTGCGTGAGCTCTTGGGTTTGCTTGTGGTCGCAATACATGATATTTGTGTATAACCCAAAATTATAGCATTTCGACCAGTACGAGTTTTACCGCTTTGTTTGACACGGGGTTCAGATGCACAGCGAAATAAACTTGTAAACTGATTTCTTGATGAATCTGATATTTCTGGTATTGGCCTGTGTTTCAGGGATTTAGAATCCCCACTTATCTGTAGATTTGTTGAGTCGACCTCCACTTTATGTGCTGTCATTTTGTTTGGTTTGTACCACAATCAACCATTAAAATGTAGGGTCGGTTTACAAATCAACGCAGCTACTTGAACATAGTTATTGAGCTTTATTATCACGATAATCTACATCTTGTGTTGTGGTGTGAAGTATGCGCTCACGTTATTTTCTGGCGATGGTTATAATACTTTCGCATATTCCGTCCGATAAGTGAGTATGGTAATTGTGGGTTTTTGCCCATATATTTTTGAAGTAAATAAGAAACTATACTTTCGTTACTGTTACATTAAAATTTGAAGCTATTACTTGTTATATTTTCATGTTCACTTTATTAGTTGGATCTTTATGATTTGCGATGTGGCCAACGACGACCAGTTGCCCGTCATGCTTGGCGTACAAGTCGCAAACACGGTAAACTGCATGTTGGTACTGGAAGGCACAGTGCAGCGCTTGCAGATTTGACTACCACCCGACCAATAACAAAGGCACTAGCGTATGATAATTCACCTGGCGTAGGCTTACGTGTTGTTGCTGGAAACGCAGTTGGTGAACTCTGTGTTCTAGACCTAAGGCTTCCTTCAGAGTATTCTAATTTAACTCTCTCTGATTGTTCCAGTGCAATACCCATCAAAAGTTGTGGGTCACGAGCGCCTGAGCCTCCTTCTGGTGTTCGCTGTTTGGCGGGAGCTTCTGGCTGCATAACTCAGTTAGTCTGTGGTGGGGCTGATGAGGGTAATACTTCACTGTCATCTATGGAAGCAGTTGTAAACAACGAACCGATCATAATAGCATCTTCGTTAGATCGATATATTCGGGTATACAATCGCGATACAGGGAAACGTCTTGCAAAGGTACTCAAATTACCTACATCATGTTTGTTTCATTTTATTTTTGTGTTATACATTAATATCCATTTGTTAGTTGATACATGTTTCAAGACAATATACTAAAACTCTACTTAGCATTTATGAATCGGTGATGACTACATGTTTGTGTTGATAAAATACCACCATGATCAAATTTTTCATACTGTCTGCGCTACATTTCCCGTTACGGGAGTTTAGATCGCAACCAGTTAGATACACTCCCAAATTGTGCTACAGCTTGTTGATATTTAACATAGCTTTTATCGAATGGAATGAACTGTTTATTTCTTCCGTAGAATAATATGCAAAGGCGACCAGAAAAAATAGACACGTTTAATCAGTTAAAATAATTCCTTTTTTTAATGATTAACTGTCTGGCAGACTGACAAAATCAACTTAGAACCTCACATAGGTGCACCGGCTCAAGTTCTCACACTAAACAGTACTACAAAAGTAATGGGCGGTTAGAAAAGGCGTGATATTAAAGTAGATACAGGAGTGTGAAAGAATAAACAATCTGAAGATAACGGTTAATGTGAATATTCAAGTTTTAGATGTCAAGGAGTGAATATATCTGCGCCATTCTGACCAATTTTCGGACATTTCACCAAGAGTCCTCAACCACTGACTCCTTTCGTCTTGGGAACCCCAACCACAATCCACATTCCCGAACACGATTCAGCTGTCAGAGACTTTATCGACTTATGCCACATCTTGATCTGGTCACTGTGATCCCTCTCCTAACCCAATCCCATTGATTGAAGCATGGCACGTCAAAGTAAGCGGTGACTCGGCATGTGCAGTACGTGTCCAAGCCCTTCCAATCTACTGAGGTTCGTAACCTCATCAGTCGACTTGCCTGTCTTGCCTAGTACCCTTCGCCTGAACTTCACATTACTAACTCAGTGATTCGACCAAATGCGAGTAATGTTACGGAGACATTTGTGATCGGAACCCTGTAATCTTTTCATGGCTTCTACTTTTAATGACCATGTCTCGCAACAATTTAAAGGGACAGAACGAATTGCTGCACAGTATAGATAGTCGGAAATCTCGCCAGCCGGCACCATAAACGACGGTGGTTGACAATTGCCGAACGGATCGTCTGTATTCCGGCTGAGATTTCGTCGGCAACCAACGCGTTTGGGTTGATGCAACTCTTCGAGTGACGTGGTCAACATATTCCACCACTTCACTCCCTATTATTAAACTTAGATTACTTGCACCAGGCCACTCTTGGCCTACTAAATAACAACGTGACAGCCTCAGATCACCTACAAGTTCCCGAGGCAAAATTAATCATCATTTCTGATGTTCATAACCTCGTCTGGTTGACTAGTTCACTAGTTACTAGCCAGTCCTAAGCCCCGACAAAGAGGGAAGGTTGTGCATTCGACTAGCAACCCTACCCCGTAAAACAAATATAACCACCAAAGAAACTTCAAAGCACAAACGATATATAAAAAATAATAACAAAATTATTCCTCGTTGGAATCGGAGAAGCGAAATGACGCCAGTCGGTGAAAGCCTGCCTTCGGGAAGCCAATTGGCCGATGTGTCTTCTCTCTCCCGATAAAAGCGAAAGTAAACGTGAGGACATGGAATGTCCACACGATGTTTGAACCCAGCTGGCAAGGCAGCATAGATTGCAAACGAGATGAAGAGGTATCACATTGAGGTGTTGGGAATTTGCGAAAGTAGATGGAATGAGAGTGGACTCTCGAAACTGTCAACTGGATACGGGTCAATAATCTACTCCGATATTGTCACCCAGACGACAACCACGAGCACACTGAGATTTGGAGTGGCTGTCATGATGTCCCCAAGTGCATTGAAGGCTCTCTCTCATGCAGTGGGAACCAACCTCCTCCAGGATTAGGTTCATAAGAGCAAGTTTGAACTCAAAAGGAAGGAAGGAAGGAAGGAAGGAAGGTGGGTCACAATCATACAATGCTACGCTATACTATGCACCTACAAATAATGCAGAGCAAGAGAAGAAGGAGGAATTCTACACACAACTTCAATCAACACTGGACAAGACACCAGTCAAGTTGGCGATATCAAAATTCTGATGGGTGGAGTGACATGAATGCCAAACTGGGAGCAGACAACACAGGAAGAGAAGCAATCATGAGTCGAGAAGCACTCGGTGAAGTGATGAATGAGAATGGAGAGTTGTTTGCAGAATTCTGTGCATTCAACGATTTGGTGATTGGAATCAGGCAGTGTGTTCAAGCACGAGGATATCCACAAAGCGAGCGACATGGATTTCACCATTCACCAGACACCAGGACACACTAAAAATCAGATAGACTACATCTCAATCTCAAGAAAGTTGAGACGCAGCCTACTTTACACAAGGTCAAGAAGAGGAGCAGATGTAGGCTCACACCACTCACTGTCTACTTCAACGAACCTATCTTCCAAATCAAATTGAAGGCCTTCAAAGAACCTGGTTATAGACAGCAGTTCAAGTAAAACACCCAGAAGAGAAACTGAAGGATGAAACTACAAAGGAAATCTTCACAGCAGCTATCAGGAAAAAATAGGAGACATCGAACATCATCCCTGAAGAAACCTGTGTGGATGAACACTGAAACTCATTGAGAGCGATGTGAGAGGAAACCTGCACAACCGTATAAGGAAGGAAGAAGACACGCCAAGACAAGGAATGGATCTCGACAGATACATTGAAGCTGATGGAGCAGGGAGATGGGGATGGTGAAGCAGAAGATTAACCAGTGCAGTGCAAGGATGCACAACGACAAGAGGAACTGAGTAAAATGTATACAACAATACACTGGACAAGGAAGTGAAGAAGAGTGCACACAAAAACAAGAAACACTTCTACGAAACACTGGCAAGTGAAGCAGAACAGGCTACCGCAGGTAGGAGAGACAGAGATCTGACAACATTGTATCAAATAACCAGGTTACTTACTATGTGGGATGGAAGAGATCAACACACATGAAACCAATAAAAGATGATGAGTGAAATTTAATTACGAAAGATGAGAAACAAAGGAAACGATGGGCCGATCACTTCAAAAAGCTCTTGAATCGACCACCACCACCACCACCACCACCACCACCATCTGCACTTCGTCTAGAAATACCACCTGCAGCCCAGCCACAGAACTACAAATGAACATAAATCCTCCAACAAAAGTGGAAGTCGTGAGCGCCATAAAACTACTGAAATGCGGGAAAGCAGCAGGACCAGATGAAATCCCGCCAGAAGCACTGAGAGCATACGCAGAGACAACTGCAGCGGACATGCTCACACTACACCACACCACACCACACCACTACTGCAGAAGGTTTGGAGGGAAGGAAAGGTACCTGTCGGTTGATTAGAAGAAAGGTTAGCTTGTCAAACTGCCGAGGAAGGGAGACCTCAGTGTTTGCAAGAACTCGCGTGGAATCATGCTGCTATCCCTGTCCAACCCCAAGCAAGCAAAATATTAAGCCGCATCATCCTGGAGGAGGCTACAGGATGCTTTCAATTGAAAATTACGACCGGAACAGGCTGGCTCGATTCACGAAGTACAAATCATATGCGGACCAAATTGCAACGCTACACTACGCATCATCATAGAACAGAGTATAGAATGGCAGTCAACAGGACCTTTAACTCAACTCCATCGACTTTGAGAAGGCCTTTGGCATCGAACCTTTGGCGTCGAACGAGAGGTAATTTGGCAGGTAGCTGCTTCAACACTACGGAATACCACAAACCTTTATCAATCTGATGCAACAGCAGCTATATGAAGACGCCACATGCCAGCCAAGTAATTGACAATGGGAAGCTCAGTGATGCTTTTGAAGTGAAGACAGGAGTAAGGCGAAGCTGTCTACTATCCCCCATGATATTCGTGATTGTGGTTGACTGGACTGTATGATGCAGCAAACAGTGGGGAGCTGTGAGAAGAGGGGGATACGCAGTGTGGACCGCGGAGAAGAACCTAGAAGATGTGGATGTGGCCAGTGATGACTTGTGTCTGATGTCACACAAAGTAGAAGATCTACAGGCGAAAAGTAACTAGTTGACAGAAGAGGCAGGGCAGGGCAGGGCAGGGCATGGCATGGCAGCGAATGAAGATGCGACTTCAATTGAATATGGAGAAGACAGAGGTGATGAAGATACCCAACCAAGAAGAACAGCAAAACAACAAGCTGCAATCACCATCAACGGGAGCAACCTGAAGGAAGTAGCCTCGTTCACGTATCTGGGCAGCACTGTTTCAACTACAGGTGGGACAGGCACAGACGAGGATGTCAAAGTCAGGATTGGAAAGACAACAAGACAGGTGTTCATTAACCGGATCTACTGCACTGCACTACACTACACTACACTACACTACACTCAGCATGTGGATTTTCAACACCAACATCAGTCAAGTCAGTGCTGCTGTGTGATGGTTCAGACACTTGGCGTGTTACGAAAGGGATTTCCAACAAACTATAGACATTCATCAACAAGTGCTTACGCTCACTCGTTGTTGTAGCTCAGATGGCAAGAATAATAAGAACAAGCAACAAGGAACTCTGGCTGGCTGGGAACGAAGCAACCAAGAACGTATCGCTGAACAAATATGCTGAGGAAGGAAGTGGAGATGGATTGGGCATACACTGGGAGGGCGGACTGTGGACATCACGCGTCAGGCCAGTTACTCGAGTGGAACCCAGATGGGAAGCGATGAGTTGGGCGTCGGTGTCGAGGGTGACATGGAGGGGATGATGTGTGAGGAGTAAATGAGAGTTTGTGGGTTGTCGTGGAGCCAGGTTGAAAAGATTTCAGAGAACAGAGTGGAATGGAGACGTGCTACAGAATCGGTTTGTTCCATTAGGAAGCCAAGGGGCAAATAATACTGATTTGATATTTGTAGTGAGTGTTTTTCCTCACGTGCTTGTTGATCATCTGATGTTGTCAGCTAGTAGACTAGTAAGATGGAAGGCATTGATTTATTGGGGTTTGTATTTCAACTCTTCATGAACTGTTGTTTAGTGCATTGAAATTGACTTTAACTCTACAGGGACTGGTTTTGTCTGACCAACCATCTTTGCCTGACTTTTTGTTTAGTATTTCAAAATATGTTAAGAGATGTGAATCTTCTTTTGATTCCAGTGTGGTCTGATTCATAAAACGGGACAACAATCAACTTATCAAGGATACACTATAGTATTCTGTACTTATAGATTCAGTAGATTCTTACTTCTTGATCTTGTACTTTAAAGTATAAAAACCTGCACTGTAAAGCGTATCGTCGTAGTGTGAGGGGAAGTTAACTGTTTTCATATTGCGACTGATGTGAGAGAAGATATGGGTGAGCCTGAATGGCGATGGAGGTTGAAAGCCTGGAGCACAAGTCATTACATGTTCGGCTTTTTAAAGTTAATTTTACCATACGTGGGCTGGTCCGTTCAACGAATTAACTATCTTACTGATGGCCTAAGTTATGTAGGGAAGCGTACATTGTCTGGTTGGAGTCCTCTAGATGTTATGAGTCAATGTTTGGGAATCGTCAATGCCGATTAAGGTAGTGAAGATGTATTTATTCATTATTTTCAAAAATTCTGTAAACATTTCGTCAACTCGTTAGTTTATCCTCTCTGTCCTATCCTTTTTTGTTTATGTTAACGTAATCCTATTTTTTTTGTTCACTTGCTCTTTGTATGGTGTTATTGTATATATCAGCTGATACATTTTTGTTTAACGTCATTTGTTCTGTACAGTGTTTTTTAATCAAACTACCACCTATCGGTTGATGGGAAGACAGCGATCACATTTTGAAACTGCCTAAAGAATTCTATGCACTATTCTGTTTTTTCTGATAAGATTTGTATTGCTTTTGTCGATTTGTATCTTAATTTTGTCGTCCTTTTCTTTTTCGTTTTTTTTATGGCATAATAGATTTATGTCAAATTTCCCGTAACATCATTCCTGATAAATAGTACCACAACCTTTACGAATATTGAGAAATTTTTAAAGAAAGATGATGATGGTTATGCTTCAAATGAAACGGATGTTGAAAAGTCACAGGGCATATCTGAAATAGAGCAAAAAGAATTTGAAGAATTATGGAATCAAATACCAGTTGCTGGAAATGATGATGGTGATGCTAAAAAACAGAGTGACGGGACTATGAATCATAAACTTTGTAAACGAAAACGTAAAAAGTAGCGAAAAGTTCGTATATATCCTGTGTATAAATTTTAACCAGCCAGAAATAAAGAGGACTAATCCTTTGTAACAAACACCGACTTCAAGTGCATTGTACGGATGGGTTAATGTACTCTTTAAATATATTTAATGGATTGAAATCACTTTAATCAGTATGCTTACCTCATAGCGTTTTAACCTAAAATCGTAAGATTTCTGTTCTTCGATCCCCTCGTTGTTAGTAGTAAAAGATGCTGCAGTAGTTATTATGTTTTACAGAACTATACAGTTGGATTTTAGTTCACCTTCAGTAAACAAGAGAAGCGATCAAAGAAAGTACCCTTTTTAGTCGTAAAACCTACTTAATTAATCGTCACATTGGTGCATACAATAGTGTTACAATGCGGAGTTGTGAGAGCGAACGAAAATACGTGACGATTGATAGTCGAGGGTTCAGACAATTCAACCCGAGTGATTTGCAAAAAGAAATCAACAGACTAAAAATCAGATGAGTTTATAGTATCTCGGAATGAAAACGTTTATTAGTGAAAACTGACTCTATTTATAGAGTTTTCAGTAATCTTGAAAGGCAAGCAATAACTAGTACATTTAAAGATACAGGAGCCAATCAGAACACTAGCGGGTCGTACGAAGTATTACCTATGCCTGGGAAAAAGCTCAAAGTAAAACAGTTCAAACATACCCAAACTGTAAGTTTGAAATATGAGGGATGTAGGCATCCCCAACAAATAGTCACCTATTAAAATATATCCGTGATAACGATTAGAGTTCACGAAACAACGGCATTTCTGGTCTGCTGAAACCACGCTGCAAACCACACATTAGATTTTCCAGTATGCGCGACATCCCACAGATTGGACAAAAAGCTTCGCTAGCCAGAAACTGATGACTTGGGTTATGGATATGTGTTGTATTCATGAGACGTGCATGCGTTGTCGTAGTGGGTTTATCCGCATAATCTTATTAAGTCAAATTGGTGAGTCTGTGAAACGGACTTTCCGAGTTTCTAAAGTTTCCTTGACTAAATCTGATGATCTTGAGGGTGTACGTGTAGTACAGAGTCCATCGGCGAGCGATGCGCTGCCCGACCAAAGTTGACTCAGACGTCCACTGTTTGAGTAAGTAGTGTAATGGGGATTAGAAGAATAGTGAAACTCACCTTTGCCTTTATGCAATCTCTGTATCAAAGTTATTTAAAGGCGGTGACCAAGGCCTATTGGTTAGGTTAGCTGAAATATTAGCAAGCTTTGACTGGTTCCGACCGCTGATTGTCTTGATCTTTAAAAAGAGATACACTTTTGAGACAATCAGGAATAATTCTGACGAACACTGTGTTCAAGGTTCTAGACTGTGACCATTAGCTAATTGAAGATCAGGTATAAAAAAATTAGGTAGATTTCAAACCTGGTCATAGGTGTATTGACTAGAAATCTGCCCTTACCAGGTTCTGGAACACAGACCCACTTACTGGTACATCGATTAGACACTGGAAGGTAAATAACTTTATGTTGTCTAGTCTTAATTGATGGTCGAATTCCATCGATCATTTTGCAATGTAGCCATCAGGCAAGGAGACTTACCATTGGGATGCACCGAGATAGGTGTCAGTAGGATGGAGGCAGGAAGCTTTGTACCTAGGATTCGTGCCTTTTGCACTCGCGTCAGCAAGGCGCATCTTCAGCCTAGATGGGACTGATATCCCGTCTGAGATTCGCATTCATGTCACCCAGTACTGCAGTCGGAGACCTTACCACTAAGCTATTTGGGCAGAGGTTGACCTTGTTTGGGACTAGATGAAGTTCATTAATTGGTGACTTGAGGGTAACAAACCTCAAGGTCGCAGATGCGCCTAGACGAGTTCTAAAAGGTACGAGACGTAGGTCTAAGGCTTTCTGCGATTGTCTCCATCCAATTAACGCAGGGGTTCCCAACACTAGTATTTCTTGATCTGAAGGCGACATTCTATTGAAAGGCCTTACGTCAGTCTGCACTGAAAAAGATGCCGGATAGGTACGTCACCTCGTTGACAGTTTGATATCCGAACACTCGTTCGGTGCATTAATACATATGGTGGGCTATTAGATGAGTTGCACACTCCGAGTGGAATCCACCAGAGATTTCTACTCTATCCGTTTTC